TATATATATATAAATAACAGAAATTTTTTTTAAAGAAAGGGAAAGGCGCTGGTAAAGATAAATAAATGAATAATAAATTACTTATCAGAGGCGAATTTTTATCTGATAAATGCAAATAAGTTATCTCGAATGGAATCGATTTATCTAAGGGATGCACTCGTCGCGGACGTCGCCGCTTTCTCGGAAATAAAACTCCCTCATCCGGCTGTTATCGCCTGTCGACACGTGGAATCGTAAGATAAACTCCCTATCGTTTCGGAGATACCCCGAAATTCCGGCTCATCTTTCGGCAGGAAACACTCCTTTCTCCGCCCGACGTCTTCTCCCCTCTCGTCTGGTTTCCCGACCGCGTCGATGTCGGACCAACGGCAGTTCAAAGCCTGTAAAACGCGCCTCGTCACGAGTGAAGCCTGCGTTTGATGACCTTCGGGATGGAAACACGGGAAGCGTGAATAATTATTTCGAGGAGCGAACCGCGCGGTGAGAGAGAAAGAGGGAGAGAAAGACTCCTGGATAGACGACACCGGGCTCTTTAATGAAATCCGCTCGTTCATGTTGTCATTATGTACACTCCGAAAATGACACACTCTCATCGGATCTCGCTTTCTCTCCGTTAAACAAATCCTCTTTTTGACTGATTTCCGTGAATAGAAACCGCGCCAATGCGAATAAATCTAATTCTATCTTTTTTTTTTCTGTGTCTTTTTCGTTACATCACGTTACATAATTGTGATATTTTTGCAGCAAGAAACCTAATAAGCGAATAAAAAGCTGTAGTATCTTCCAAAGTAAATATAAAAATTTTAATATTTAATAGGAAAAAAATAATTAATTAGTTTCAATAAAAAAATAATGGGGAAACTAATTTCCGTAACGTGTTTCTTCGAGATATGTAATTTCTTATTTATTATCAAAAAGCAATTATCTGTTTTCTTCGTATCTGGAGATTAAAAATAAATTCTATACTTTGTCCGCGTTGCTGGGATAACGCACCTGGAGCTTCAAACTTAGAAAACTTTTAAAAGTGGAAAACAACAGTGCACTGCGCGATTGTCTTCATCGTTGTATAATATTTTATTTCTCTCTCGCTCTCTCTCTCTTTCTCTCTCTTGCTCTTTCTTTTCCGGGGCAAGCACTTTACCCTTGCTAAAAGGGCGTCAGTGTTCGCCGAGTTCTTGCCTTCGTTTCTTTTTTTTTTATCCTCCTTCTTTTTTTTTTCTTTTTCATAATAAGTGTGCCTTACGTACGTTGTCTCGGCGTAGCCCCTCAGGAGCAACAACTCTCGGGGATGAGTTCAGAATCGCGGAAGCGTTCTGAGTGCATGAACTTTACGGTGCTCAGACCGTCTGGAAGGCGGTACAGCGAACACAATTATTTGCACCCAGCAGCGTCTTGCAGAGACCTTAGCACGCGCGAGGTACTCGGCACCCCCGATGAATAGGCGCGGCGATTTTCACGCACGTGGGTGATGCAATGCAAGGGGGCGTTGAAGAATCGGTTGGGGTACGAGGCAAATTTTTCCTTTCACGCGCCCGCGCCCGCGAGTCTCGTCGTAACTGACGGCCCGCGCATAATTCATGTCCGCGTGGTTCGCTGACTGCGAGCCCCGTGATAAAGTGCGCATTCTACGTGCACGCGATGAATTATGCATTCGGCGTACGTTACATATATTCGCGCCGTGCTGTTGGGAGCCGTTCTAATTGATACGGGATGGTACAAGTTCCTGCAGCAAAGGGAGAAGTGCTGCGAAAGCCTATTGGGAAATTAGAAAATTATGATTGTATATATTATTACTTTGGTATATTTTCTTTATAGCTCTCGTCTTTGTTATAAGAAATTTATTTTGCAGTATAAATTCATTATTACGAGTTAATTGTGTATTATTAATTTTATCAAAGTTAGGGTCAACGTCAATTGTTATATTTGATTAATTTTAGACAATAGAATGTTCAATTTTTTATCCACAAATATGAAAATATATTACATATTTGATGTGGCATATTTTATATATATTCGATTAGCAAACGACTTGATTTTAAATGTTTCATTGGAAGATCAAACTTCATTCAATTTCTAGCCGTGTAGCACAGATGCATTCTTAAATCGAACTGTTATTTTATCTGATTTAAACTAACAATACGAATGATTTTATGGAAAGGCGAAAAGCTTTTAACAACTTCAAAAGCGACTTTTCGATTTAAAGACAGTCGTTACCTTAGTCACGTGTACACACCGAGAAAAAGATTCCGTAGCATAACGAGCCAAGTTCTGCTTCTATCGGCACAAACTTTCTCCCTTCTAGTTTCATGATGCCTGGAAGAGGGATCGAGGGCCGTACCACGAATAATAATCAAGGAGTGCTCCGACGAAAGGGAATCGCGAAACTATCCCAGACTAGTATGAGAAAACAACCCCTTGTGTTCGCGTCCAGACGAGTTACTTTCTTCGACGAGTCGCTTTCGATTCACCGGAAAGAGACGTATAAGAGGAAGACACATTTTATGATTGTCTTATGATCTCTTTTTGTCATTTAAGAATTAAAATCAAAAATTTTTTGATGTGCATTCCGTAAAATACAAAATAATTAAGTTGCATCATTAATTCTTGTGACATTTTTATTTAATAGTTTCTCATTTTCTGCATATTTACGAAATTACCATTAAAATTATACAATATTTATTTACATTTAATACTTATTTTAAATACATGCATAATTTTTCGCAAACTAGCAAAATTAATTATCAGTTAATTACAAACTGAGCTTGATTTATTGATCGATTAGCCAATTTTTAACAACGTTTTCAGTTAAATAGACTTTTAATCTCGAAAATTCCTAGTTTTACCTCTTTTAAATTTTCTCATGATACGTCTCAGCTATCCTACGGTTGATGATTCTACATATGACACCGTATAGACATCGAACGTGCGTAAGCACTTGGCATCGGACGACGTAGTCGAAAAATCGGGCCGCTTGTGTAAACGTCATAAAGCAACGTGGCTGCAGCTGTCGAAGAAAAGAGTAAGAGAGAGAAGGAAATGTTTAGCTCGGGAAGGAAGCCAATCTCAAGAGTAAGTCGTAAAAGCGGTCGTGTTTACCCCTCGAGGACGTTTCACGACCAGCAACCAACAGGACTGGCGCAAACGTGTATTCTTTTTTTTTTGGGCGCTCTTTCTCTCTCCCTTTTTTTTTTCTCTCTCGCTGATAAACCTTAGTAAAGATTGACATCGAGCCGCATTCGGAGATATAGCCTAACGAGCGCGTTGAAAAGACATGATTCGGTCGTAAAGCCTGCCGTATTAGTTTATTTTCTCGATTCCTCGTCGTAATTCGGGAACCAATGAGTGATAACCAGACGATATTTTTCAAAGGTATTTTTCCATCGTTTCTGTAGCTGATCGCGGCAACTCGCTTTCCGACGAGACGCGGTCCGGAATCAATGGTTCCTTTGACGTTGCGCGCGCATGAGCCGCAAATCCGGCGTGAAAATGCGTATTATCTGCACTCAGATCCGCGCATATAATTACAACAACAGATCGATTGTTATATCAATTAATATTGATCGCGTAATAGCTGTAAAACAAAATTTTGTTATTTAGTAACAGCATTCCCCATTGCAATTTTAGGTTCAGATATAAAAATTTGTATTCTTCAAATTAAAAGAAGGAAATATTTAGTTGCTTCTAAAATCTATGACACTTTTTGCTCTTCGACGAATTGTGTAATTTAAAATGATAGGGCACCGCGGCGGTATTAGATCACAGAAAATACCTGAATCCACAATTATAGATAGGGAGACTGGCAGGGTCCGCTCGAAGATAAATAAAAGATCTAGAGGGGTCCCTCTGATAGATTTATGACCGTATATTATGGTCTCGAACGCACACGGATGGCGGTTAAACTTCATTGCATTCGGGATCATATGGAGATATTTGTTACTGGTCGAAATAAATTACACATCAAATATTAAAATATGTATATATTATATATACACCATTAAATCGGACGCATATGCTCAAATAAAACGGTATTTGAAAGCACGATAAATAATATTCGGAACAACGACGAGTGCGAACTTGAAAATGTCGAGTAATTCGAATTTATCAGCAGCATCCTGCGTTCTTTCACGAAATCATTGACTGGTATATCTCTGTTGTTTATCTCGAACAATGGAAATTATTAGTGGCGATCGGGGAGGAGAAATTGAGGGAAAAGGGCGGATGTTGCAACCGCGTAATCTGAAATTTGAACGCGAGGTGGATTATATAGTAAACGAACACGATATAATGTATAATATTTCGTCCATCGCGGCCGCGACGGATTAATTATTCCCAAACATTTCTACAGAGACGCGCGATAGTGGCATGTTGCATGAACGAGAGATCGATGGTGCGAGAGACGGCGAGCAGTCACACACGGATGCACGATGGTGTACACGTGTTCCCGGCCGACGGCCGCGGCACGGAGAAACACCGATCGATTTTCGCCCCGGTACAGAGGATTTAATCTACACCGGTGCGGCCATTGTATGCAAAATGCGTACGCAACGATCGCCGTACGTAAGCTCGCGAATCTCACGAATTTACGTACGTGGGTGGATGTGTGTCGTATATTGCACATATAAACACCTACATAAACGCGCGATTCTCTCGCTTGTGCAGGCATTTTTCTCTCTCATTTTTTTTTCCTTTACATACTCGATGTCATTCGACGTAGATTCGGCCATCTCTTTATGCCATTGTAATCGGTCAAGATTAGAGACACATATATTCTTCTTGTTGATTGCATGCACAATATATGCATATGACTCAAAATATATTTAAATTTATTCATTGAAAACAATCAGATGATCTATATTGTTTAAATATAAATAATCTTTCTGTGCTGGTATAATAATGATAAAGTTAAACATACAAAGAATTTGGCCGATTTTTAATATTTGTAACCGATCGAATATTATTTTATTTTTAATAAAATGACTTTTTTTTTTTTTACAGTGACACTCTCCCAAGATCAGGATGGCGATCTTTACTTTTCGGTGAGTCCCGCGGAACATTCGGTTGTCGAAGGATCTCCAGTTCGTTTGAGATGCGAGGCTGAACCAAGCTCGCATGTTAAATACTCGTGGAAAATGGACGGACAGCAACTTGCTCCTAGCCCGCGAAGACATCAGGTCGAGGGCGATCTTTATATCACCAGGGTCAATCGGATCTTGGACAGTGGAAGTTTTGTTTGTGTGGCCATGCACGAGGAAACCGGCTACTTGATTGAAAGTTCGCCCGCCAAGATTGACGTTCAATGTAAGTCTTATCAAATCTCTGCGCTTATCTTCACACGTTTGCGATACAATTAAACACCGTTCGCTTTTAATTTTATAATTATCTTTGATCTATTCCCGAAATTTCGTTTCAATGCTAAATATAATATGCACACAGGGAATTTTGATTTAATCTATATTGTCTTTGTATTATCAATTTTCATATTTTAATTTCATAAAGTAATAAATTTAATTTTTTACCTTTGCCATTAATTTTTATAGATAATTTTTATATATGGCAGCTGAATTTATATTTATATTTTCACGGTATATTAGATAGATATTTTTTATGCGAAATTGTAATATATTCGTTGCCTGTGTGTGAAATATCGTTTAGTATGAGTTTTGACTATATTAGTCTCAATTAAATATCTCGCAACGGAAACATTTAAATTAATTAAAGCTTTTCCTGGTAGCGCGGAAAATAATATGCAAGTTAATTATTTATTTTCATGAAATATACACACAGACACGTACATTACATCATTAACGATTAAACGAGCGTAATGCGCAACTCGCTCTTTGCTATTTGCACAAAGTTTTCCGCGTTTAAAAATATTATTTGACGGTAAATGCTGGAATTAGCTTTAGTGTACATTTATTTAACGTGCAACTGAGTAGCGAATTAAATATTATATCAAAGGATACTCGTTATATACACATCTGGATTAAATATTACTGTCTATTTTGATAACTTTTATGTAACATAGAAGAAGTTCAGTTAGTTAACTCTGATAGGTTCAAGTAACATTTGAGAGAGGATAGACTTTTTTTATTAAAAAATACATTTTTGTATTGAATGCTAAACTCGAAACGGGTATTATATCCACACACATTACAAGTTTATTCTGATAAGATTTAAAGTATAGAACATGATAAACTGATATCTGAAAATTACACATTGCACGTGTGTAGAATTATTTGCAAGAATGTTTATAAAAACAAATCGATATTTTATACAATTCTTTTTTGACCAATCTTTTCTGAGGTTACAGTCAGACTGATACAAATAAATCCAAACCAAGTATGCTTATATCTAACTCTCTTTGACCGCCAATGTTGAATTAGCTAAACTTTATTATCGGATGTCTCGATTAACGAGCGGAAATATGACTTTATTATTGATTCACGCGCGCGTGTTGTATTATCGTCCGCGTGGAAACACGCAAATTAAATGCTTCTCACGAGAATTTCCGGGAAGAGAGGCGAAAATCGGATCTTCCTGGTACTTCGACCAGAAAATCAAATTTAAATATGACATAATTAAATATTAATTTATTGCTAATTTTGTTGCCCTAATTTCGAATTTCCTGCTAATTGGTAAAAGCAATGAATTCGAAATTAGAACAATAAATTAACAATAAATTAATACTTAACTTATTTCACCTGAATTTGATTTCTCTCGTGTCGGGTATACCATGTTAACGGAGGTGAAAATCCATGTGCGAGTCGGCACAAGCTCTCATAAAGTATACACTCGCTATTCAACGATGCGACTGCGCCGGCCCGATAAACCGATATAATCCGCCGTTCAGTCGGCAGCGTTGCTTAGTCAACAAAGGGAAGCGAGACGATGGTGGGCCTCGTCATCATTGCTCGGGGGATTCGAAAGAGCGAAAGAGGGGCCCGTCGCCGAAGCCGCATCATCGTCGTCACGGTACTTTTTAATCGTCCCGTCTCCGCAAAAGAGCAGATCAAACGCCTCATGCGCAGAAATTACACGGGCCGAATGCGAAGTGAAATAGGAGCGGTATAGAAGGAGAGAGAACGGGATCGAGAGGGAAAGA